TAAGGCCATGCTCCGGTCGCATTTCTTGTCACCGGTCTTGTTGCCTCACCGTGAGCTGACCTTCACAGCGCCAGTTGATTGGCGGATCAATAACGTGACCTTCGCGCAATCCTGTCCCCTGCTCGGCATTAGTCACCATTGTTCGCTGACTCACTAATGACTGTTCATGCGCAGCTGGATTGAGGAAGATGTATTCAAATGGCCTCATGGGCTTTATTACTTGAGAGTTAATCCGAAAAATTAATTTTCATGGGTTTTTTAGGAAAACTGATATTGACCGAAGGAAGGTGCAACAATAGAAGCATTTGATTTCAAAACTAAGTGCAGCATTTGCCTGTACGGTGTCCGTCGAAAAAGCTATTAAAATTATATTCAAGCACCCAGTTCGTTTTTCCGAGACTGCCTTACATCATACATATGAACGCGATTGACTCGGTATTCATGGCAAACTACCACGACTCTGGAATCTGTGTTTTGAACTCGGGTCGCGTTTTATGAATTTATTAAAAAATACAGATGTCTCACTCCTCACACACTGTTGTATGATTTTTCGGTCGGATGTGGTTATATAGCCCCACCTAAAGTAAACAAACCCCATTCGCCTCTAATATGGGACCGGTGGTAATAGGGGTTTTTATAGGTGGGGCCGGAGAACGCAAAGGCGACAAGGTCAAGTAGTTGTATGCAAAAGGAAAGCTACTGGGAGTGCGCAGTTGTACTTTGAGTGGTTGAGGGATGGTTGCTCTAGCTCCTAACCTTGACCCTAACCCCAACCCCAACGGTATTGTGTCCATCAGGTGGGACTACCAAATCACATCTAACCGATTTTTCGATCACGCATTTTTCAGCCAGGTCATCCTAGAGACTGAGGCAGAAGCTTAAAGAAACTCAAGTTGGAAAAATAGTTCACATTTTACCATTTTCCAGCTGCCATGATGTCCTTTCTTCTCTGTCAAAAAGTCATTTGTTAAAATGCTCATTTTTGCCTTTTCGAATATGCGACTTTCATTTTTTTTACAAAAACTAACAAGGTGGTCAAATATCAAGAAGCTACAGCTTGTTGTAAACGGACAGTTCCATTAAATGCAAGCATTACTCTCCTAGGATATTACATGGAAGTTAATCAAACCAGACTGGCTTCAGAGGTCACTTATCTCCTGTCACGTTGATGCCAACAGACTATAATTTGTATATGAATTGATATATAGGCGAAATGGTATTACCGACAGTCTCTCTTATCTTTGTCGGTAATACCATACACACATACAGTTCGACCGTCCTTGCCAATGCGGTCCATCGTATGCTCCACAGCAGGGTGTAAGTATGGATGGTGACTTGTGCGTGAATTAGTTTGTGATGATGGTAGACTTTCACAGCATATACCGCACTCTCTCCTCCTCCCCACCCGGGCCCCGTGTCAAAGCAGAGTCAAAAAGGCCGGAGGCGGGGGAGCGCGCAGGTGGATGGCACGGTCGAGCCCGCACCTTTGCGCCCAACTCCACACCCCCTGGTCCACACAACAAATAACCAATAACAACAAAAGGGCGGTTTGGACGGCCGAAGCCGCACCTAGGCGTGCCGTCACACCTGGCTCGGATCCCGCGGAGTGGGAGTGCCATAAAGGCCACATTATTCAGGAGCCATTGCAGCCTGACTCTTAATTGACCAGTCGGCCGCCCACACAAACACAACACTGGGCTAACTGTGAGGATCAAGTTATTCCATCAGTTGACAACCTTCCAAGCTACGGCCTGGAAGTTACTCACATATTTCATATCACACTTATCTGAATCGTGACAATACCAGTAGATCATTGCTTCAGTTACACTTGGAATTCCGATCCTACGTTAATGAAATCAGGGGCTTCAATAAAGAGCCTATCTGAGAGCACAGACTTCTATACTACAAATAACTGTAGGTTTCCGCGGCACCTGGAGGTGGAATTTCGATATAAGTCCCCATAACTATGCATATTATGCTTCCTTGGTGTTGAAAACGATCTTCCTTCTAAAGTTGGCTTAACCACTGCGAGCGCGCTCAAGAACGCAGGACCTTTATTTGGTCTGTATCCGAAATGTTGGGAAATTGGGGACTGAACGTCGAAACAATCATGCAAACATGAATGCATAGATTTAGCCGTTTTCGGTTAGTAACATGACTGGGGCGGCTTCTGTAAAGGACATAGGTTCTCAGACGCCTTTCGGCGCGCAGAATAGACATTAGCAGTCCGGCCGATCATCCTCGGTCTCGTCGTGCCCATGTTTGTCCTTAAAACGAACACAAAGAGGCGTGAATCTTAAAATGATTAGAGACCACCGACCATCGGTGTACCTTAATTCCCTCTCGTCGCGATCAAAATCCAACGACTCAGCCAGTTCAAGGATTTGAGATTCGCTACACACAAGCTCGCCTCGCTTAACCAGCGAGAACTGGAACAGGGGATGCAGTGTCATGTGACAATTACCGGGGGTTATGTGCGAAGAAGACGCTTTTAGGAAAGTGCGACAGTTGAAGAAGTTCGTGAAATTTCTGTAGCCGTTGTCAGGTTCTAGATTTCATTATATTGCTCGCTGTATGTAATGTCCACCGAGTCGCCACGACTCGTGCAGTCTAAACCCCCCATTCTCTGCTCGTGTGGTCACTAGCTGAAACGCCCGACCAGACCAATGCGGGAGCCTACCGACGGTCAGCAGAAAGACTGCCCTTGGACTTAAATAGTACTAATTTATAATAAGTAGAAATTATAATGCCTTTATTCTCCGATTCAGACTACAGGAACATGAAACGCACACAAACGAGAAACACAGTCAGCTAAGGGAATTGTCGTATAATTGACCCAACCGGAACGGCCGGTTTGGGCCTACTAGCCGTCATCAGCCAGTCATACGCAGCGACGTCAGACTTGGAGCACCTGGGACCAGATCCCGCTCTCTTGTGATTATTGGTTCAACGATCCGACCTCATTCTGCCTATAATAGTTGTCGCTGTGCAACTGCCTAAGTGTCTCTAGGTCGAATCCCAAAATACAACTGAACGAGTATGTCTCGTAACTTGATCGGTGAACAGCCTCTACCATAATTAGTCTGTCCAATAGCAACCAATAATGGTCAGGGCTTTGGACTTATAACCAACAGGTCGCGGGACCAAGGCCCAGGTGTTCCGCACTTTCGGGGTTGGGTGAGGCTGGCTGGTAACCGTTGATAAGCCCAGAATAGTCGCTACGGCCTCCCATATCTTTGTTGGTAATGTTATTTAACACTTATCGCCATCTTACGAGCAGGTCGAACGTCCTGCGATAACGCAGAGTTCAGCACAGTGAAAAGACACAGTGGGAACAAGTCGGAGGGGTATAGCTACCGAATTTTGGGACGACTGGGGTAAAGCAAAATCAAAAGCGCGTTTGAGTAGGAAGTGAACTTCTGAGGACAACCAAACGTTAGGGCAATGTAGTCCCGGTTTTGCAGGCGCCAGAAGAAACACGCCAGAAATCGCGGAGGCCAGAAGGACCGGTAACGATCATGTTGTGGGCGTTCTCCGGGTGAGCGCCTTTCGCCAGGATAAAGTCGTGGAGGTGAGAAACCGGATAAACAAAACGCAGGATCGACACCGCGACACGGCATTCAGTCTTAGCATTGGACGGCATGCACTGCGAAGACAAAATTCCAGGACGCGCTCACAGCTGGCAATGGAGACAACTAAAGAACCCGGTCGAGAACAGAACATAGGACATGATGCGCAAATATGGTAGGCCGCCCCATGTGGGGAGGGTGGGCAGATCAGGTGAGGTTGTGTTGGACGGCAAGAAGTCTGAGAAAGGAGCACTCATGTTATCAGTGAGGAGGCATGAAAAGAATAGTTGTCTTTGACGCACATCTTATCGAACGGTCAAGACGGTCAGTAGAAGACTGGGCAATAGAAAGCTGATAGAATGCCAGTCATGTGGCCGCAGACGGGGTGTTGGCACTGTTGTAGGGCCATGCGAACAATCGAAACTGTGGGATGTCGAAGGTGAAGGAACAACCACTGAAAGTAGTGCTACGAGAGGAGTCGATGAACTGCGGAAACCAACCGCAGTTCGGAAGTGACGGCCAGCAGATGTGAAGGGAATGGCACCGACCTGAACATCGACGTAAATGAGGAAATGTCTGCACCTTCTGCGGTGACGGACAGACTATTCGGGAGATCCGGATTTGCCAGAGGGATCATCAAGGTTTACGGCCTGCTCAACCCTTTGCCCCGAATTTCCCCGTTTGAAGTTAACACAGTTGAGGGGATTTTTTAATGACTGTCGGCGTTTATGATTATATTACTGTCAGACAAACAGTAACACATGTCTGCATGAAGGAATAATCAGGATTTGCGCGTCCATGGACGAATGGGTTTTGAAGCACATGGGCTGGACCCCAAACCACTCATTAGCAAGACAAACTCTGGCGCGACAGCGCTGCGCAGAACGTCGTTACTCGGGATGCAGCAGGTACCACTCGCTCCGAACATGGTCTCAAGGCTACACTCCCTTCCGGCCTCAGAGAAATAGCGCTGGGATTGCAGTGGCAAAAATAGAATTGAAGTGGGCTAGATGACACTAACAATTGAGCACAGATCCCCTTTGGCTATCAGTGCTTTCCTCATTTGAATAAATGTGGTTTTATTAGGCTTTCCTCCTTTAGAACATGAATCTTAAACTAAAAAGGTATCATAATTACATTTCAAGGACATCAAAAATTTCGGTCCGTCATTGCACCCCGCATAGTTCTTGATGTGCTGGCTCTCAATACATTTAAATGGTGGAAAGCGACTTAGTCAGCTTCCTCTGACTAAGATCTATTGTCTCGGATGACCTCAAAGAGCAACTTGGCTAATTATAGCTGACGTTCCTCTTTACGGAGAAAGTAGGGCAAAGAAGTTGACCAGCAAAAATACCTGTAGCTGTCTTTTCACGCTCTTTTTAAGTAAAAATAAACAAAAAACAACAACGAATCTCGAAACGTCAATGTCCTTCAAACAGCCGAGTCATGAGTAATCGGAGCACGCCTGCCCCCTGCGGCGTATGTCACAGCGTTGTCGGCTGCAGTGGAAGTCAAAGGAGCTTGTCTCAGGCTGAGGGAAATCACAGATCCGCCAACATCGCCACTGACAGCTGCAACCACCATACCGGACTCCCCATATCCGCTTGTTGGAGGCCTCTGCGTTTGTAACTGTTCTCGTAACTTCGCTGAGGCCACTGCTCCCGACGTGCCGGGAAACTCCGTCTTCTGACCCAAAATGGGTATGGAGACTCCAGATTCCCCATGGAAGGCAGAACTTCTGGTACCCAGGGCGCTTGCACCTGGCATCCCTCGAGAGGGTCCACCGAGAAGAGAAGATAGACGTCCCGGCGGTGCCCCGAATTGGCCAACTGAAGGCACCGAACCGGTGAGGAAGAGAGAGGGAACGCCGGCGTGGGACTCCAGTCCCGGCCCCGAACCTGGACCTATCTCGAAGCCAGACCCTGATCCCAAACCGTAGGCCCCCGAGACGGCACCGCTGGGTTCGCCAGCGAGTGGAATGAGGCCTCTCTCGGCCAGCAGTTTTTGGTAGATGCGTTCGCTGTAATCCGCAAGTTGGTCCACAACGAGGCAAAAGATGCTCAGAAGAGTCAGGACGCCAGCGGTGGCAGCGAAGGCGAAGCCCCAGGAGACAGTGTTTCGATCTGAGTAGGGCATCCATTCGCGGTCCTTGGACATGATCCCCACGTACGTGGTAATTACGGTCAAAGAGCCAACTTAACGAGAATAAAAATAACGAGGATTTAAGCACACTCCTTCATCCTGCTATTTCTCATACAAGTTGGGAAAAAGACTGAAGGAAGCTGAGGTGTCGTACAGGTCTTCAGCGGCATCCTTCGACAGATATGCAAAAATGAGCTTTCCTACCTTGGCTACGTTCGCACTTCAAACGAAGGCGAAAGTGATAACAGCGACTGTCTGAACTAGCCCCTGTTTGGCAGACTAAATCAAATCGTCCCAGTCGGCTAGTTAGCCGAGATAGTAGTGCGTCTTATTTGTAATGAAATTATGTTATGCCAGATATTCTGTCAGAATGAAATATCTGCTGGTTGCTGAGAGCTTTATGGTTGTCATGTACTTTTTCGATGCTTCTTCCGCGTAAAATGCACTCGGAAACGTGTCGACTGCGCCCTTACCCATTCAGCGCCGGAAAAAATCAGGCAAGTATATACGTGCTTACGTGTCAGAGAGGAGGATTTCAAACATTTAAAAAATATCTCGGAAATTGTCAGCAAAGTGCTTCTCTCGACTGTGTATGGGCAGATTATGGGAAGAGTTATTTCAAAGAGAGTATATTCTTTAATTCCTCTACAACAGCGTTTCAGTAGTTTTCTAATGGCCACACTATTGTAACCTAAAGACAATCTGAAATATGTGGTTTATACAAGGTTGGAATCCCTGATGTCATGGCGATTGTATCTATGAGATTGATCCCTACCTTCCGAATAAAATCAAGACATTCATTCAACTTTTGTGGGATTTTTTTGAGTCAGTCGGTATTTGCTGAATTCTTTGGCGCGGTATTAAATGGATGTTCGACAGATTTGAAAAACTGGCTCCTGGGTACACTAGTTGAAGAACGAGAGCCTAAAAAGCAGTTAGTTTATCTGCTTCGTTTGGAGTAAACATGAAATTTAAGTTAAAATACGAGACTTTGACGTAGGCTAAAGTAGGGTCAGCTTACACCGGATAACAAAATAGTGCAGCAGCTTTCGCGAAGTTCTAGATTCCCATCCAGTTTCACGAAGTAAATAAAATTCATTTGTTTGGCTTCACTTGGAAGGCTAAGAATTTCACCGAATATTTTAAAAAAGACAACCGTAATCTCAACTGAGGTACTCCAAAAAATCTCATTCGTTTTCCAAAATCCTACTGGTCCATTTGATCAACATATAACTGTTTCCACAGTTCCATGCCCTATAAAAGTGATTGGACTCGCCAGGAGACAGCAGTTGGTCTTCATACTAAACGGTGCCTAAGTAATTTCACTTTGATTCTATAGAATCGAAGCTACCCTGGTAGAATTCTATGCGCCCAGGGCTAGCCTGGTCGCCTGTTCGTGGGCTTGTTTTGTGTGAATGGAGTTTGCGTTCGCAGGCATACATCGAGTGCGTTTTGTGGAGCTGAAGTCGAGTGCTTTGTTAAGCCAATGTCATCAGAAGGCGAAGGATTCCCATTCAAATTCACTTATGCTTGCCTACTCCAGCTGGAGGGCAGAGCCGTGAGACACTGAAGGATCTTGGAGGTGGGCGTCAGACCTAACGCGCAAAATGCATGGGGTAAGCGTCGGGGCGAGGGTGTGGCATTAAGGATCATTTTCGCGCGAAGGCTGTACACCGTCAGCCAATTAGATTGCTGACTCTACAATAGCCAGCAAACCAAAGCAGACAGCAGATGTCTAGCCCTGTGCACCATGATGCCATCAAGGTATAGCGGTTAGGTGTGTACGCATATCTAGCGTGCTCCGATGCCGTTTGTGGTGGCCATTTTAGCTTCAAAATCAAAAAAACGTGACCGATAACAAATAAAAACATGTGTTTAAAGGATTAAGGTGGTTTTTTTGTGCGTACGAAACATCGTCGTTGCAACGACGATGGATTCGTGAAAAGTAAATGCAACAAATAGGCAGCCTCACCCACAATTGATTGAAGGATAATAATCGGCTCATTTGACAGCTTGCAAAATAAAGTTTCCACCCCGGCTGCATTCTGGAGTATAAGCACTAGTCCACCAAGGCTGCACGTTATATTGAGAATTGAAAGAAGTTGAACAGTAAGAAACCATCCTAAACGTCAAAACCTTCAAAAAACCGTACTTGGGACGAGCCAGAATCTTATGTATTTAAACTCATCACGGTAGATATACCAGCAGCCGCTGTAAGCTTTTGAAATATAGTCTTCAGCGAATATGAAATTGTTGAAACAGGCTTCCCATAATCCAAGCCTCTGGAAGCCACTATTAGTGCCCTGCCTAGCCACAATCCAAAATGGAGAAATGAATCCGATTGTATTGAAAATATTTGCTAATATGGTTAAAAGAATGGCGATTAGGAAAGAAAGCCGATATAGCAGTCGAATTTTTGCACACATTTCCGGGATTACAAAAAGTTGTACAACGCGAATCAAATTATAATGATGCGAAATAACAAAACTTTAGGTCGAGCAAATATCTTGAAGTGGGAAAGTTTCCAACCAAATTATTTATTTTCTGACAGGCTCTTCTAGCGTACAGAGCCAAAAAACGCCTCTGAGAACGTGGGAGAGTGACAGAAAGGAGAGTTCGTATGCTTTGTGGAGTCATGGAAATAGCTTGAGGTGAAAAATCACATGCGGCGGGTATCCCAAAAACCGAGAGGATACAGGATTATGAAACCCGGAAGTTATTATTTAGGGCTGTTCCATCTGACTTCCGGTTCATTATATGAATCCATACTTTTCCCGACATCTGTCGTGGAAAGAAAGCTACAGAATCCGAAAGAATCAACATCGTCGGGTCCGGACATTATACCGGCCCACTTCTTGAAATCATTGGCTAACGAACCCTGCAGACTACTTGCGCACTTCATTCATACATCATCCGAATTGTGAAGGCTGTTATTCGGGTGGAAGGCAGTAAATATCTACCCGATATACAAGGGTTGACCTCAAATTAGTGCTTACAATTATCGGCCTATCGGCCTCACCTAAATTTGCCGTTAACTAATGAAAATTATACTAAGGAAAACAACAACGGAGTTCCTGAAGGAGAACCACTTACCCTCAAGGCTCCAGCGTGGCCTCAGACAGAACCTCTCAAACCTTTTTTATTTTGGTGCTCTCGACCGAGCGGTGGACTCGCGCACTGGCTGAGGATGGTACTGTCGATGTCATCTACACGGAATTCAAGAGGGCATGTGACAGCTTTCCACGCAAACGTTTACTCTTAAAGCTGTCTGAAGTTGGAATAGGGGGAAAGCTACTGACATGGATCACAGATTTTCTCACAGGAAGACCGAAAACCGTTTGCGTTGATGCCTCAAAGTAACCCCTAACTCCATTCTAATTGCTGTCCCCAGGGCTCCGTCTTAGGGTCGTTACTAATCTTAGTTTACATTAACGACTGCGCTGACGACCTGGAATGCAACGCCGTCATGTTTGCTGACTGTGTTAACCTGTGGAGAGCCATCACACCTGACGTACCTAGGGGCTTGAAGAAGGAGACACGATCGCTGGGACAAGAGCTTTATTAGCCTGACGTTTCGGATTCCTACTCGAATCCATCATCAGAGACAAAAGAGAACCGGATCTGCGAATACGTAGAGGCCTCCCGAAGGGCGAAGGTTTCCCATCGCCGGGCCGATCGGAGCGCATCGCGCCGATCGTGCGCCGGCTGAGCAGTTGGCCAGCTCGTGGAATCCTAAACTTTAACGTGGACAATTGTGTAGTCCCGAGACTCTGCACTAGAAGGACCAGTGAGGAGGATGATTCCTTCCGAAATCTCATTTATTGGCAACCCCTTCCAAATGTTTTGGAACAGAAAAACCTCAGCGTCCTAATGACCTCCTCCCTTAAACCATCGTCATTTGTCGAAGGACAGTCAAGCGTGCGATAGACTATCATTTGCGCTGCGCAAAGATTTGTGCAGATCGGTAAGGGGCTGTTCGGAAAAACCCTTGAGCATTCGTTCGGTCTCACTTAGAGCATGCCGTCCAAGCCTGGCGTCCGTGGTCCAAGGGGGATTATAAACAGTCGGAAAGAGTGCAAACGATGACTTCGAAGATGGTCAAGAATCTTGGTCATCTGCCTTACGAAACCAGACCGGCTGAACTAAATTTGCGAGGCGTGCTTGCTCAACCCTACCGAATTGTCAGGGACCGTGAATGTGACCTAGTCTTTGACGACTTCTTCTTATTGGCATGGCCGGACCGCCTGCATGGTCATCACTCTAAACTACAGAGGAAGCTTTTCCATACAGGTGTCCGACGGAACACCTTCTCACAGGCGGTCTTTGGGGCAAGGAATGCACTCCCTGACGTGCTGGTTCTATCCCAAGGTGTTTACTCCTTTAAATGCAGACTAGACGCTAATTGGTTGAGAAACTACTGCACATATGACCACGACTGTTTTAGTGGCGGCAGTTTGCGGCTCGCTCGTACATACCGATGACCTTTGAGTTTTCAGAATTACTGCTGTTACGATCGACTATTTTGCTGTTTTTGGATATGAATAGGGAGCTCAAGGGCGAAAGTCTTATTCCCTTGATAGACTGACTTAGACTGATTATCCTGAGTAGACACAGCTTCACCTGCTTCAGAAGAGATCTCCCAGAGCACACATTTTAATGATTTTCTTATTTAGATAGCCATACGTCCCATCTCGCTTGAATATGCGTGTAATTATTCAGGCGAGCAATTCACCTACGACTTGTAATTAATAAACTAACCATAGCCCACTACACGGGAAGCTACAATTTTTAGGGATTTAAATACTCCGTCGACTTCTTGATGGTATTTGCACACAAGTTATAGTAAAGTCACTTAACATCTATCGGAAAGAAACTACGTAGCAGGGCCTTGAAAGTTTTCACACATTTCTGCTCGAGTCACTCTTTATCCTGTATCAAATAGGTGCTCTTGGCAGTAGACAGACGAGTAGTTATAATGGCAGTCGCTCTTCCTCTAAGTGGAGCTAACTATGACGTATAGCCATGTAGCATTCTGGTTGACCTTTACAGGTCTTCCCAAGCTTGCAATTTTATGAGGTTCTACGGACACTTAAACACGAACGCAGAGGCCCCACAAAGAGCCCTTACTTATTCGGAATATCCACAAAGAATCTGAGAGAAAAAAGATTCGTGGAAACAAACACCAGGTTTTCCTCGCTAATCGACTTTTCATTTGTCTCTTTCATAGCCTAGAGATTTCAAAAATCATTGTGCACCAAACAACCACTATGACGTCGCTCACTCATCCAAAACCCATTTTTCATATGGTCTAGTGTAGGCCATTTTCGCGGTCAACACGCCAAAGTGTGCAATCTGTGTCAGTTAGCAGGTAATGTACATACCGAGTTTTCCTAAATCTGGCTCATCGGGAGGTTTTTCTTACGTAGCCATGGGTTGATCAAGACTCCTGTTAGCATGTGAGTGAGTAGGTTAACCTTCCCCATAAGCGCCATTTGCAGATGACGCAATTTACACTTAAACGTGCCAAACATTAACGCATGTGGGCTCATTAAAATGACCGGGCTTGATGTGAATATCTAACAAACAAACCTGATTAAGTTGTTCTGGCGGAAAGCTTTGAGACATTTAAACGAAAGCATGATGATATTTTATTTGATGGTCATGTGTTTACTTGATAAGACATGATAAAATATACCCGTATATCTACGTAAGCATCTGTACGTTTTTCAGTCTATGTCTGTAAATAGGGTTTTTGAAGTCTATGCCTATCTCCCTTATATAAACTGAATTATACTGAATTAATTATACTGAATTATCCAGTCGGCGTAGTGCACTCGGGATCCCCATATGCTCAGAGTAACCTATCTCCAACACTATTTAGTGTGTACAAATTGTCGGCTTTATTCGTTTGGCCCAAGACTAGAATGAACTTGTAGCATCTATTCCTGGGTAATTTTGTCCTATTCTTTGAGCAGCAAAATTAAATAAAATCGTTTGTGTTCATGTTTCGGGGTTTTAACGGCGTGGTAATTGATGCTACATATTCGCCTCATGTTTCCTCTCCGTGATACTACGGGACTCCCTACATATTTTTGGGGTTACGGACAGAGCTCTAGAGGAAAACATGCATGTACAGTTGGGACCGTAAACACAATTATGTTCAGGCAGCACAAATGTGGTCACTTGCAAAGTTTACGGGAGCAATTTACATCAAACCTGCGTGGATGCGTTGCATAGCTAATGAAATCACGGAGTTTAGTTCACGGCTGGCCGTAGATAATCCTGCATCGATGGTTGCCGACCATCAAAAACCCCACAATCTGACTGTCTTTCAGTGCAATCATGGTATCCAATGCCATTATTTCACCTGAGAGTAAGTTACGCGGTCAAAATACGCGCTTGCCGAAAGAAAAGTTCCGTTTGTCTAGGACCTTGTTCGGATGACCGCGCAATAAACTCATATTTGCAAACTATGAAAACCTCAGGTTTGTAGAATAGGGAAGAGAATTGGGATTGAACAGTCTTTCTGGATTCGCCAGTGTCCTACAATCGCCCACCATTTTTGTCGCCCTTCGTTGTATTCGCTCAGTGAAGTCACTGTCATTCTTCTTCCAGGACATCAATGGTGCCATTACATGTCTTAAATGCCGTGTAAAGCACGTACCAAAGGGCTGCACTGGGAGCTCGAGAGCCGAGCACATTTCCACACAACATGCTGACTGCTGATACTACAGTCCTGTGTAAAGGGCAACTGCGTTTTGTCACTTACTGTACATCTTCTTTTCCCTAATATAATAATCCATAGCCATCGCCGAAGTCCATATTCTAAGTTGTATTCCTTCATATTTTTTTCGGTTCAGTTCGGTTTATTGATGAAAACAGACGTGAACCATTGAGAACCTATTTGCAACACGAAGATGGGTGTAGTATGTAAAGAAACGATAAGTGTTCGAATGGCCTGAAGGCGTCCATAAAAGTGTGAAAATGTGGGCGTTAACCGCAAGGGCAAAGTAAAATCTTCCATCAATTCGAGGCATTTTTGAACATCAACCTCCTAAGGCTCCTTTTAAAGCTTTCTAGCGATATTGACCTCCCACCATTTGCAGGTAGAGCATTACATGCTTTGCCCGCCCAGACGCAGAAGGAGAACTTCCGCACATACAGCCTTTCCTGCTGAACGCGCAGTTTGATTTGTCGACCTCCGAGGTTGGTCATGGTAGCAAAGTCAAAAAGGTTGTCAAACCCAGACTTCCAACCAACTTCACAAAACGGAGGATTTTAAGAGATTCCGTGAGTTCGACTGTAACCCAAAGTAAAGAGACTTAGGTCGGTTGCATCAGACAAGGAGCTGTGACACATAACTATTTTAATGGCCCTCTACTGAATTCTCTCGAGACTGTATTGATCTTGGACTTCGCATGGTCTCCGTGTTCGTGTGACTTACACCACACGCGACCTCGGAAATGTTCTAAAGATATTGGAAGAGAGGCTTTCATAAAAATCGTTAAAGCCTCTTAAATAAATAAATATAAATTAATTTTTATTTAATGCCAGTTTACAGGCATTGTCAAGGGAAGCGATTAAACACAAATCCGACCAGCAGTGAAAAAAATATAGTTGATGGTGGTTTTTGTGGTTTGGAGGGTTCAGGAGAAAAAACTGCCGGCGGTGGGAGAATATCGACCGTCAAGAAGGGGGGAGGTTGCACGGTATCGGAGATTATCGGACGTCAAATTCCTTTCATGAAGTTGGGGATAGTCAAAGTAGAGGCGTTGAGGAACAGCTGATGAGACTGGCCATAGTGTTCAGAGACCACAAACGCCATCGCTACGGTACAGTCGATCAGTAGATTCAGCACCCATAATTTGTGGGAGCTTTTCTGAATGCAAGAAATCGAGTAATAGTTCTCTTAAATAAAGGATAATTTTGCAGAGTTTTCACACTCATTGGTAGTTTATTCCAAAGAGCAATTGCATTTACAGAATAGAACCGACGATATTTAACAGTACGTGCCAGAGGCGGAAATAAAAAGACCTCACGGTGACTGTTACGTCGTGGGTGGATATGATGTCTTAAAGAGGTGAGTGGGTTAAATGTGTGATTATATAAGATTTTAAATAGCAAAAATAGTCCCTTTTGTAATCTACGGAACCATAAGGGATCGAGGCCTGTAAGCCGGCAACGTTCTTGGTAAGACAAATGTCGGTGTTCCGGGGTTAAAATTCTCTTGGTAAAAAAGTGTTGAACGGATTCTATTTTCTTCTGCTCAGTAGCACGCATGAGGCTAAATGAAAACGAACAGTATTCCAGACCAGGTCTAACGTACATGTTGAAAAGGCGCATTCGAATGTCCCTCGTTTTAAAATTTCGGAGGATAAACCCGATGGCGTCCAACGCGGACACTGCTCTTTTTATCACCCTCGAGTAATGGGTAGACGGTTTTAAGGAGCTCGTCGTTAGCATGCCGGGGTACCTTGGGGCCTCCATGTCCTGTAAAATAGCACCATCGCGAAAGATTTGTTTTGTGCCGGCGGATATGGTTGGTCAGTTTAGGTAAAGTGTGATAAACTTACCGATACAGGATCGCGTAAACTAGCGTTTCGACCGCTTATCCGGTCTGCTTAGATTGATATGCAGTTCGTCTTCGACGGACATGCCCCGGATTACCCTCCAAATTTCAATGTCGTCAGCAAAACCTTTTAACTTCGTAATCTAAACATATTGCGCAATCCCCATTTGTATTAAATAGAATGGATTCTAGTACTGAACCCCGAGTAATACCACTCTCGATGACTCTCTCTGTTAATGCCTCTAATCCTCTTCGGATAAGGTTTGAAAATGGATATTTTTATAGGCGGAGTCGGCAGATCCTCTGTGGAAAAAGAAGGAGCTTTGCATCGTGTATTCATAGGGATTGGGAAATCTGCGAAAAATACTCAGCTTTATTTCTGCTTTCAACGGTTTCCACGTCCCGGTAGCGTTTATTAAGGGGATTTGATGCTTATTCCGTGTAATTCTTCCGAGGCAGTTGTGAAGTAATTAGGGATTCTGCGTCGCATTTGTAGTAAATTCTTCTCGTATTCCCAACGCGTTTTAATAGTCATGCTTCTGCGCTGCATCAAACAACACACATTCAATAAATTCGAACAATATGCAACTGCCTACGTTTTATACTGCCTGTGTATAAGTGTACACAGTACCATTCCCACTACCCTCAAATACGAAAGTATTATTGCTGTATTCGTCGTCGGAGACGTGTTCACTGTGCGGACTTGGTGGTTTACAATTTCCATGTTAGCATTTGAGAGAACGATGACACGAAAACCTGCATCAGACCGTCGAAAAAGTAGATAAATGGAGATTTTCCAAATTTCCTTTTTATGCTATGCACAGTGACAGATATTTCAAATGGCGACATGTGCAGAAAGCTCAAATGGTGTGAGAATGCGCCAAATGTTTTCATGTTGAGTTTAATGCACAAGACAGTCCGCGGTGTATATTAAATTAGGCATCCTTATTGGTGGAGTATTTTAAGTCTTAATCGTCTATTAATAGACGATTTCAGTTTTCATTTAAAAAACTGAAATCAAGTCGAGTCAAAGCTTCTCTTCCGATGTAACGTATTGTCCAGGATAGCATAGGTATTTTCAGTGGTTGTATCGTCTGTCCGTTCTCATTCTTTTACTACCTAACTGTGATAAAAAAGCTCTAAAATTGAGTGGTCTTGAGTCCTTTCTATCATTCTAGCGCAATGATCCGCCCAGTCAGTAGGCCGTTCGGAGGTTAATGGACAAAATGGTTTATTAAGAAGTTATATGATCACTAATGATAAACTCATCAATGAATAATTAATAGGCTGAGGAAAATGTGAAAGTCTTCAGTTCATGGTCGACTGGGAAGTGTTGTCCAGGTAACTGAGTCCGAATCAGGTACGGACGAAAGAAAGGGAGGCAGTTATACAGTTAATAAAGGATTCAGTTATATATTCCATAAGCAAAAAATACAGAGGAAAAGGTGTGTGTCTCCTGAATGCATATCTGTTTTTACTCCTGGCTTCAATAAAGCAGAAAAAGACAATCGCCTCGATTTCTCTCACAATTTCAAAGCTTTAAATTATCATTAAAATTACTAAACTCCGCAGACGTGTCAGGATGGCCGAGCGGTCCAAGGCGCTGCGTTCAGGTCGCAGTCCACTCTGTGGGCGTGGGTTCGAATCCCACTCCTGACAAGATTTTCTAGGCGCCAGTTTGTGTATTCCCCAGACGTCGGTTGCCTACGCGCGCTGTTTTGCAGCCTCCTCGTGCCTGAACTCCCTGCCGACCCTAGAACTCTTTTGGGGGCCTCGTACGATTTGCAGGTAGCCCCGATGAGTAGCGGCGAATACTTGCATAAAGAACTTGAAAGGCAGCTTTGCGAATTTTTGCGCTTTCGTAAGTATTCTCATTCCGCAGCAAATGATGTGCACGTTCAGTTCGCTATAGACGGCCTCCCCATCTGTAAGAAATCAGACTGAAATGTGGCCCATACTAGGCAGAGCAGTCCGTCGGTTTATAAGTAATGTCTTCCCAGTTGGCATCTACAGCAGTAGATGCCACATGTGGCGGTGGAAAGCCGTCTGATGTTCACGAGTACTGTCGGTCACTAGTTAATGAGATTAGGTACCTTCAGGAAACAGGAATCTAAGTTGACGAAATGATCCATCATGCTAGCGTTCAAGGAATAGCCGTTATCTGTGATATCTACTCGATATTGCGGATCGGAAAATAGATATCCAATAGATATCGTCTCCATATAGTTTGCTACTAGGGGGGCACACAGCAACAAAAGGGTCACGTCGAGGTGGATAGCAGACAGACCAGGAATTGGCGTCCAAGTGTGCGCGAAAAAGGAAGTAGGTCGTCCGATCGATTAGCCTATCAGCGTGCGCTCATTCGATCGTCGCGCACGTGACTTGAGTGCAAGGCGCACAGCCACCAGTCAATATTAGGTCCGATTGGAATGAGAAACTTGGGGCTCGCTTCTTTGCTACCAGCATGTCACAGCCTATTCCCAGGTATTTATCAATGACTAGCCACCTAACATTTCTGGCGGTTGCCGTAGGAGACGCCGTCAGCTTGTTTTTTAGACCGCTGATTTCCATTGTAATTGTGTACCCAGTTAGCGTACGGTAACTTGCACGTGCAGTTGGATAAACCGGTATTGCTGAAAAGACCAAGAAGATTTGTTGGTAATGGCACTCAGAGTCACAGACTGCGGAGTAAATGGACGTTGTTAGAAGCATCATAAAGTGTTGCATAATGTCAGACGAAAGATTGCTGCAGATGCCCGCATGCAAGCATGTGCCAGAGACACTGTACAGTATTGTAGCAGTATTTTCACGGAAACTATATTTATCGGATTTAGTATCCACAGAGATGCAACTTCACCGTCCCATATGAACGTAAATAATAGATTTGTACAGTTAGATCTTAAACGAGCTGATTTCTGTCCCTCGAGGGACAGATCTTGACTGCAACTGACCCCATATTCACCTGAACCACCAGAATCGGACTTCAGATATCTGGGTACATGTTGACCAAAACGTTAAAATGGCTTTGATGGAAGATATTGGGAAATAAATTAGCAAAGTTGGACATCTGAAGAGGTTGTATTTTATCGTGGCAGGTTAAGCCATACTCAGACCCTAGCTACTACAACCTTCGTGCCTGGTGCCAAATAGGAAGAGAAATTTGACGCCAGTAGGGAGAGCAGAAGAAACGGAGAATGGGTTAGTGTAGACTGGAAAATGGACGTGAGAGTAAGCGTCCGAGTGCCGCCGGGGCAGGCATCAGAGCGCCTTCGGTGAGGGCACATCTGCGTCGGCCTTGGAGTTGATTGGCCGGGTTGGATAACTGTAATTAGCCAATAACCAAACTATCACTGATACGCAAGAGACACGCAGTGTTGCAACGGGCGTCCGGACTAGGATCACTATCATCTGCCTCAGTAACCTTTTCAGCAGAACGGTGGAAGCGCGTGCTCAAAATCTGATGATGGCATTAAAAACCGTTTCTTGTGCAGTGTTTATCATTTTCAAATCTTGTGTGACAAAGGACTTTGAACTGCCCAAAGAACTTATCGTTTTTTACTTCAAATTCGAATACTTTTCAAAAACGAGCGAATGGTTTGGGGTATGCATCTGCGACCGAGAGATCGCAAAGCGAATACCACGTCGGATGTATGTTGTGTTTCGAAGGCGGACCAATGGTAGGACAGCACAATCTCACTCAACATGCGAAAATGTAGTACCATATAACTGCCCTACCCACTTTAATTGAGTAGCATATATAAAGAAGCCGATTATTTCATCCGAATGACAGGAGATGGTCTGCTCTTTTAATTTGGAAGTTGGTACGTTTCTCACTCACTCTGTTGAAGAATACTTCCTCGGTTATGATTTTCCAATCGAACACCGGCATTTGAAGGGAACGTCTGTGGTCAGTCTACTCTGAGCGCCTCTCGCTGCAAACAGAACAGGGACGAAGTGCCTTCAAGTTGAGGCCGAATGAGGGTGATTACTTCGCCCTCGTCACAACAAAAAGCTTGCGTGGGAAATATCTAAAGCCTAGAGGATGCCGATGCTGCCTGGACGTTCGCAGATACTCTTTTTCACAGCGAGTCGTCGGTGCCTGGAACGGACTTCCCGAGGACGTGATAATGGCGGACACCACGGACACATTCAAGCAAAGACTAGACGTATATTTGCTTGGAAAATATCGCTTGTCTGGACAGAACAGCTCTGTTGTGCCAAAGCAACGCCTTGCATACACCTACGGCTAATTCGGATGATTTTCATTTCATTTTACCGATATCATCTACAACTGAATGTTCTCGAGATTAGGTCTTGCAATTTCAAAGAAACATATTCTGTTAAGTGTATATATTACTGACAACATTTTAGTACTATGTTCATTGAAAGTTACATATTGCATGTACCGTTTACAATAGGGTTTTCAAAGGCATTGCCTATTACCCTTAAAATATACTTACCTAGAGACAAGGTTCTTGAGTGTAGAATCGATCACTGAACCTAAACGCCGACCTCCCTCTGACCTGCTAAGTCTTTCGAAATGTCTTTGTCGTGCACAAGGCAAAGGGAGACTATCTATGATGTGTAGGTACTACCTAACGCAAAAAAGGCTATGCGAGCAGTGAGCAAAATTTCGTCTGCCTGAAAGATGGGATACAAGTCGTGTTGGCGCAGTTACGTAGAAAATAAGACTCAATGCATACAAATTTTAGGGTTTCGGAATGTTTTTGCGCCTGTGCTTATCAGCGCAACGAGGTAAATCTACAAAAGTTTGTCTTAGACACAGTCAGCCTGCAGTCTCGTAACAAACGACTTGGGCCTCGTGAGCCTGCTGTTCCGTATAGTCTGCTCCAATAATTGTAACTGAAAAGAAATTGTCCAGTGAGACGGAATGCGGACAAAGAGAGTATAAAACAAAAGAAATTGGGGCTAGATCGCAGTTGGTAGCCAGGCCCCATATTACAGGTGGCTTGGGGGGGTTGTTTACTAGGGATATTTTGTGGAGTTCCATAATCACATCTGACCCTTTTGGCTTCTGTTTTACGTTTGAGGTTAGGATTAGGGTACCGGTTAATTGTGTCCGATTTTCGGGTTAGGGTTATGCCTTTAGGCTTAGGTTTTCGGGTTACGGCTAGGGTTTGAGCTTACGATTAGGTCTCAGTGTTACGGTTAGGTTTTCCGGTTACGGCTCTGCCTATGGGCTACGTTTACGATTTCGGTTAGGGTTAGGGTTGCCGGTTAAGGTTAACTGTTAACTTTTAAGGTTGAGGTTCGGGTTAGTGTTAGTGTTAAGGTTAGGACTAGGGTTAAGGTCGCCGTCCGCTTCCCCATTCCTGGCTATCAACTGGGATCTAGCCGAAATTGGAAACGTAACGTACTGCGGGCTAAAAGGCAGGGCTACCAGAAGGAAAATAAAGGCAGGAGAGTGTACAAAATGAGGTAGCTTGAAAGTGCTCCCCGATATAACGTTACACCCTCACCGTGTCGGTCCAGCAAACTTCCTTTACGTAAAAAGCAGGCAAAAACACATTTGATAAGAAGTAGACGCGATCGCTGGCACAAGGGCTTTATTCGCCTGACGTTTCGGATTCTCACTTGAATCCACCATCAGAAACAGTGACAGAAATGGGTGATCCGTGCACAGGAAGTCGCAGTATTTATAGGATGCAGTCGCTATGCTACTGGATACCTACGATAATTAACCACACTCCCCCTTCATCAAGAATTATTGTCCGCTGGTGAGCTAATTGCTTGATGGTCGGCATGCAAGTTGTTAATTTTAGGGTAAGGTGATACCATACTAACAGCACAGGTACTAGCCAAAGGCCATACATGCGTGTTTCGCCTTGTGCTGTTAGTATGGAATCACCTTACCCTAAATTATACTACTGGCAGCCTGTCGGCAGTTAATGAATATTACGCGGCTATCCGCTGTGTCTGATGGACTTCAACCCAAATATTCATACATAAAATTCTCGGTCTGTGCCTATAGACCTTGAATAAACTGATATACTCCAAGTTAATAGATAATTCCTGAGGAAATTAAAAAGTGACAAGTTGTTAATTGCGGAAATCTCATCACCGGTGTTGGATGCTGGCGTGATGATTGCTCGGCCGTCTGGCTCACCGGCTTGCGCGCTCCTCGAGTGGTCACGGAATATCGAGTGGAGATATCGTTGCACTTGTTGATAGACTGAGATCCCGTGAACTGTGACTCAAGCAACCCGCGGCTCACGCGATTATCCCTTCTCGTGAGAATTTCGGCCTCATCGAACTTTAATGTGTGGCCGGGTCTCGTCAAATAGGCCGCGACTTGGCGACATTTCTCCGCACCGCTGCCGCGTGTTCGTCGATTCTGGCCGGAGCAGTCTTCCAGTTTCTCCGACGTTGTTGCCTTACCCATAACTGCACCAGATCAGGTAAACGACTCCAGACGTTTCCTGCCGTGACAGTGGGTCTTTTTTCCCTGATGGTTGCTTCCGGCCTGTTTGTAACTCCAACCCCAAGTGGCGCGAGAAGGCGACTAGCGGCCTCAGAGACGTTCTTGATGTACGGGATCGATCGCCAGAATTTGGGATCGGTACGATTTTCTCATACAGCGGTCGACGAAGTTGCGCCAATGGTCATTAGTTTTGATGACCAGTCGAAAGTATTGAAGTTCAGCAGTATTGTCTTCCGGCTGAATGTAATGCGTTCTAATACGCCTTAGAGCGTCCCTAAACACTAAGTTTGAAAAACATGAACACTGCAAACAAAACGGCTTGCAATGCCGTCAGCAAATTTCGCACATGCGCTTCCACTGAAAATGTTACTGAAGCAGGTGATAGTGATCTTACTCGGGACGCCTGAAGCTCTGATGTGAACAAATAATGAATAGTCAAAAGCCAGTTCAGTTTAATTCCTGACTGCGACCCTCTCCTAGTCTTGAACTCCTTGACATCCTTTCCAACGAAGTATCCACTTTCAGGTACCTTGACGTTACTTTGTCATCAAATCTTTCATTTTCCCTTCATATTAAATCCCTTTTCACTAAAGTTCGTAAAATTCTTTATTACGTTCGTTGTTTACGTTCCTACTACACGCCTCAACCCTTAGTCTGGCGATTCATAGACGTCCGAATTCCTCCTCCTATCCTTTATTGTCCTCCTGTCATTTTTCCTGCCTTGCACAAAAAGGATCTGTTAATTTTAAAACGAGTCCTCTGAATGCTCTCTTCCGCTACCATGTTTCTTATGCCTTTCTTAGTCAATATTATCCTGCAACGATATTTCAAAATGGTTAAGCAATTTGCTTATCGAATTCTGGATGACGTTGCACATCCCTGAATTCTGAACTAATCTCTAGGAAGCCTTCGACTTATCTCTTGTCATACGTCGGCATATCAACATTTCGTATTGCCATTCCTGGCCCGCTATCTTGTGTGTGGAGGGATATAAATACATAAGTTAAGATTCGAATTGTCCCCATAATAATCGTACCTTTCGTGTTAAACTTTTTGACTCTTGAGTAATTTATTAACTTATTTTTTGTCCACAGTGATTGGAGCCCTTTTTTGCTGAGAATTATGAATTTATAATTTCGAAACAAAGCGAATTCCTCTCTCTCTCTCTCTCTCTCTCTCTCTCTCTCTCTCTCTCTCTCTTTCTCTCTCGACGTAATCCCACGTCATGTTGGTCGCCGTCGGGAGTACGCGAAGGCGCTGGTGACTGGCGTGCACTGATTCAATCCGACTGCACGACAGAACGCAGGTCGATTCCACTTTGCCCCTACTCTGGCACGTGGCCTCACCTATGCGAGGGAGCAAGACGAGGAACATGGACACCCGCTCCCTGACGTTCGGCTTGCAACGATTCTGTCTGACAATTATGACACTGACGACAATCAACCTAATACCGCGCCTCCGCCGCTATAGCAACCACTCGATGGCTAGCCAATGGTGCTACATTAGAACTCCCCCAAAGAGTCAATATGGAAAGTGGACAGCAGAAACTCAGTGTCTATGCAGACAGTTCCCAGGGAGCGGTCATCTACAAAACCTCACAATCCGATCTCTTTTTATTTATCCAAACCAGACGATCTGAAGAAACTCTCCAGGAGTGTGCCGCTTCCACTGATAGTTCCAAAAGGCTCATGAGGTAGAAGAGCGTACTATCGTAGAGTCCGATGTAACTCACTGGTCAGAAGTTACCGAGCGAATGGGATGTATTCTGAGCGGAGGTTCAGTGACATCTGGTGTTTTTCGTCGGAATCAGTGCTGTAGATTTCGGTTCACTTACTGAGGTCCGAAGATGCGTAAATGGGACTCCTGATTACAGAAGCATGCACCTAATGATATCAGCGTTACCTTGTGGGTGCGATAACTGACGTAAACTTGGGGGGGGGGTCGTGCTCTCTAAACGAAATACTCTAGGGGTCTACTGAAGACTACCAACCAAGTCCATTGGGTGGCCTCGATGTTACGTATACGATTAAGTTCAATAAAACAACCCTGCCGATCATCGCATAGTAATGAGCAGTCAGTAATTCAACGAATTAGTCGCAACCATACGTGAGTCGGAAAGGTTAAGTTCCGGTTCGTATAAGCCAGAGGCTCTTGCTGTTGTGTGACTCCGAATATCTCGATGGCTGTCGGCGGAACGTAGACCTCTAGCTATTGACTCAAGACTAGTCGAAATGCCGCTGAAAGCGTGAGTGTTTTTGACCGGATGTCGGGAAATGTCTGCCTGACGACGGTCATTGGGTCGAAAACGGTCACTTCAGCCCCATTAACACTGTGCGCAAAACCTTTTGGTCGTAGATTTTAACAACGGTCTTTTTATTAATTATCCGCGAGAATGTTATCTTTTCTAATGTCCCCGTAGCTTTGAAGTTGTTCTTTCAAAGAGGCAAATACATATGAACATACATTTGTAATTCCAGCTGCATTGTTCATGACCTTTTGACAAAATTACACACATCGTTTCCGATTAGAATTAAATAGTGTTTGACAACATCGATTTCATGTTGTTGAATATTCAGTATTACTTGGATAGAGAAATTATAAGGACAAGTTAGTGTATGCGAACGATTTTTCCCAGAAAAACATCATGTCAGACAGCCTGAGGTTGTACGATTAAGTATAAGCGTGTGTTAAAAGTCCCATTCGGCTGGCACGTTTTGTAGCTTCCGGCCATGGAAGCTGCGAGGCCTGCACGAAGATTTCTGATGAGCATCGGCCTTCTATTCTGGCCGTTGTCAACGAAGGGATTAAAGGCCGGTAAGGTCTCCATCTTAATTATATTTCAGATTAGCACTGTCGAAGGAAACTCAAAAGATGCTCATGTTAAATCAAGGTAAAATGAGCAACTTGAGGTTTTTCTCACGAGGTAATGGTCGCATGAAACTAGGACAAGGCCGCCAATGACTTGACTGAATAGAGGGAAAATAAAATCTAAGACTGAGTTTATTTAATAAAACACAATATTTTTTAGCTAAAACTGAAGACAGAAAACACTTGGCTGGAATCTTTAAAACTAATCAGGGAAAATAATCAAATGCTTTGGCGCCAAGTGTGCGTACGTGCGGTACAAACACCAGCCGTAGACCTCTGGCTATTGACTCAAGACTAGTCGAAGTGTCGCCAAAGTCGTGAGTGTTTTCGACCACCCGACGACGGTCATTGGGTCGAAAACGATCACTTCAGCCCCATTTAGCACCGTGCGCAAAATCTTTTGGTCGTAGATTTTAACAACGCTCTTTTTATTAGTTACTCGCGAGAATGTTTCCTTTTGTAATGTCATCGTAGCTTTGAATCTGTTCTTTCGAAGAGGTAAATGCATATGAACATACATTAATAATTCCAGCTGCATTGTTCATGACCTTTTGACAAAATTACACACATCGTTTCCGATTAGAATTAAATAGTGTTCGACAACATTGATTTCATGTTGTTGAATATTCAGTATTACTTGGATAGGGGAATTATAAGAACAAGTTAGTGTAGGCGAACGATTGTTCTCAGAAAAACATGGCAGACCTCCTGAGGTTATACGAGTAAGTATGGGCGTGTGTTAAAAGTCCCATTCGGCTGGCACGTTTTGTAACTTCCGGCCATGGACGCTGCGAGGTCTGCACGAAGATTTCTGATGAGCATTGGCCTTCTGTTCTGGCCGTTGCCAACGAAGTGGTTAAAGGCCGGCAAGGTATCCATTTAAATTATATTTCAGATCATAATTGTCAAAGGAAACATAAAAGATAGTCATCTTAAATCAAGGACCACTTGACTAGCAGGCAAAATGCGCAGTTTGAGATTTTTCTCTCGAGATCATGATCGCATAGAAGAAGGACGAGGTCGCCAAAGACTTGACTGAATCGAAAGAAAATAAAATATAAAATTGAGTTTATTTATTAAGGCCTAATATTTTTTTTAGCTAAACCTCAAGACAGAAAAAACTTTGCTCATTTGAATTAATTGCGGCTCATTCGACGAGATCCGGCCACGCATTCAAATTCGACGAGGCCGAAAGTATCGCTAGAGGTGACAACCGCGTGAGCCGGGAGTTGCTTTAGTCATGGGTTACTGGCCCCCAGTCTATTAACAAGTGTAATGAACTTCCCCTTCCATACCCTGTGCTGAGACGTCGCCTAGGCGGAGTAATTAGCCACGTGGGGATTGCATAGGTGAACACTTTTCCCAACATCGGGGTCGGTGCGTCAGATGGTCGAGCAATCATCACACCAACATCCAACGCACGTGTTGAGATAGCAGCAATTAACGACGGAAATATCGGCCATTAAACAGCCATCACACCTCGTGCAACGATCCCGGATGAAGGGGGGAGCCGTGAGCATTCATGGGTATGCGGTGGCATGGTGACTGCATCCTATAAATACTGCAGTCGCTTGTGCATGAACCACCTGTATATGCTTTAGTCTCTGATTATGGGTTCGTGCAGGAATCCGAAAAGTCAGGCTAATAAAGCTCTTGTCCCAGCGATTGTGTCTCCTTCTTCAAGACTGCTTCCTGGGACTCGTCTCTTCGCTTCTATTGGCAAAACTGAGTTTATTTAATAAGGCCTAACAGTTTTAGCTAAATCTGAAGGTATAAAAAACTTGGCTGGAATCTTTAAAACTCCTCGGGGAAAACAATCAGATGCTTTGGCGCCAAGTGTGCATATGTGCGGAACAAAAACCAGCTACATTTCTAGAGATCGTGCAAAACCTGGTGGAAATTTTGAACATTTAAGGAATAGTCTTTGATCTTTTCCAGGTTTCACAGATCTTTCTCTGGTGCCACCAAGTACCTTCGTTATAATTATATTGACGCAGTTGGCGTAACGTGATAGAGTCAGGGGGCATTTGACGGTTGAACGGGGATCCGGGTTAGGTTCCTCTCGCCCTCTCCAATCTCTAATACACCAGTGG